TACATTATATCTCTTCGGTTGGGCTAGCCCCATACTACACAGAAACGTCAACCGAGACGTCTCTGTTACCAGCTTTGCAGCTGGCCATAGCAGTAGTCAAAACATGAAGCAAATCAATGTGTGTGTGTCTGTTGATTAAGTGGTGTGTAGCTAAAACATTCTAACACGACCTCTAGTGACATGTCATGACATTAAACATAAGAACATATTATGGCTAAGGCTACAGTTATACACGTCATAATAATAATATTAAACACCCTGTCTGCTGACAGTCATCAACTCTTCTCTCTAGTTATCCTTGACTAGATGTACCCTGTAGAAACTCATAAGCATGACTAAGCATTTAACAGTCTAACTAGACATCCTATCTCCACTAAACATTTCTAATACATAAAGTATCTAACCAATTTCTATCTGACTAAAAATACCTAACAGTACCTTCCTATCCGAAGGAAATGCATAGTTTGGAACAGAGAACAGGTCAAAGAAAACTGTGCACTGAACACAGGTATGAAAAGAAACATTTCAAGTGACTGAAAGTGTTACTTAAAAAGTGATACTGAAAATTTAAAATAAAAAAAGTACGTGCATCATCTCCAGCATTGTTTTTAAAAAGACAATCTTTGGCATCATGACAGCGAGAGCACCCTGTGAAATACAGTGTGTGCAAATTAAAGCTACTTGGACAGAGGCTAGGGTTTGGATGCAGTCTTTTCAGCCTCCCTGATCCACTTCTGAAAATACTTCACCTCTATTGCTCGGGCTGCACGAACTGAAGCAGGGTCCTGGTCATTGCTGTAACGGAGGTCCAAGTGATGGGCTCCGTCAGGAATCATAATGGAAACCAGAGAATCAGTTATGTTGTGAGTCACTCCACCGGCCGACCACGGATCGAGTCCGCCATTACTGAAATACAACGGCGGAGGCATGTCCACTGAGAATATATGCTCAGACACTTGTGTACGATATATTAGATTGCTCAGCACTGTATGTATGTCAGCTGAGCAACAAACTAAACATCATCATCATTTTTGTATAATTACTTGTACATTCTATTGCCAATATATCAGCATGCACAACATTTTTCATTTCATTTTTCATTGACATAATGATATGAGTGACCTTAGTGTTTGTGACGAAGCTAAATCAGAATCAGTGCTTATTCATTTAAGTTTTACTCACTGTCTACTGCCTGTAGCTACCCAGATGGGTGCTCTTAATATGCAGGCAATAAAAGCCAGTCACACACTGCACTTTCACTGCTCTCATTGCCAAAGTCAAGTGACGTTTACCTAAAGATGATGTTGCTGTGAGAGGCGATGTCCTTCCCTCCGTAAACTGTGTCTGCCCAGTCAGCTCGTGGCCTGACACCAAACATGGCGTTACACTCGTCAGAGAAGGCCTGGAAGTTCCACTCCTCAGGTTCAAACATATCCTGGATGCCATCGGTGCACATGGGCATCACCATCTCTGTGCAGGCCTGGGGATGAGGGATTGAACACACATTCATTCTGACAGCTAACGCTGCCCAGTGACATGTCTGTGCAACGATTTGCTCCATCTGACGAGACTGATCCCTGCACTCTATGTTACCACACCTGGTAAGTCCAGCCGAGAATAACTGCCAGTGGCTGTCTGAGATGTGTTGAGACAAGAAGTGCTTCCGGTGTAGTTATAGTAGACTTTGGCTGCTTGGGAAACACCGTGCAGCAGCTGGTAGTCGGACACAGTGGAACTGAAACCAAGGTACTTGCACACTACCTTGAAACATAAACAAGCAAAACACAAAATAAATAACTACAAGTTTGCGATTACATTACAGTTTAGGCATTACCGGTTCCCTGTAGTTTTCTTCTAAATAACATTAAAAAAAAAGTATCTGATTCTTTTGCATCCAAGTTGTTTACAAGATTGAAGATTGCTTTCCTGTGTCCCACAAAGTTTTTCCACATAAAAAGTAGTGGCGCCTGATTTGCATTTGAAATTCCCTGGAATCAACTTGAATTTATTGCTCTAATCTTGGCACGAGGGAAAAAAAAAAAAAAACCCACCCATTTGCTTAAAACTAATGATCTAAGTGATTTAAAATGTTTGCTCTCACTACTACTGTTTTATTTGACCACAGCTGATTTCTCAGAATCAACATTCTACTGCGTGTTGTTATGGCTGCAGCAGCAGAGTTGGCCATGGCTGTTGTTCTGCACTCTTTGTGAGGCAGAGAAACTGGGCTTTCTTGTTTGGAGGCTAGAGAGGAGCTGTGCTGGTGTGGAGTCTGTTACTAAGGCTTTTGTCTGTGGCCTGGGGAGGAGTTGGTGGTCGATGGATGAGGAGGGCCACAGACATGTCCAACCAAAGATTTATACTGTGGAGAAAAAAAAATACAGCAATTGCTCCAAAGCACCTTACTTTTCAGCTAGGATTAGGCTTATACATTCATCTCTGCCAACAGATTTCCCCCCTCTAAGCCGTCAATCCCCCGTTCTCACACTCACTCAGATAATCACATTAGCTTTGTCATTAAAAAGACCCCTCTTTGCACCCACTGCCTAAACTGCTTAAACCACCCATAGGGGTCGCATACATTAAAGGCAAGGAGCCAAAAAACTCAATGATCATTTAGTGTTGGTTTCACCTAACATGACGCTCCCAGAGCTCGTCTGTGGCTAAATGATAAACCAATAGCAAAAAATGTATCACACAAGTAAAAGTTTTAGTATGAGCCTGCTGTGTGGAGCAGTCAGGGGGGTGTTGAAGCACAAAACTGAGAGCCAGGGGTCAGTGGCCGAGCTTGGTTTATGCAGGTGGTATGCCAAGGTGACTGGGAGAATACACTTCCGGAGGCTGATTGACTTAGGTGCAAACAGCCTCTGTACCGTCACAAACTCTTTTACATGAAAAAAGGGACATTTTGTAATGCTGACAAGAGGAAAGACAGTTTTAGAAAATATTTAAAATCTGCCACATTACATCACTGCACTTTTCATCCAGGTTTGGCGAAGTACTGTGATTTCTTATTCACACAAAGTGTCCAGTAAAGTATTTCTCATTCAAATGAGAGTGCTGAACCTTTGTTTATTGGTCTCATGAGCTACACTGGGCAAATGTCCTCTTTCTGCGGTGCCATGTGAACGTCCTAAGAGGAACACCTCGGAGATCTGACGGAGTGTGCAAATGAAAGGACTATTGGTAGGAGAGAAGAAAAGATTGGTGGCTCACTTGTAGCTGCTCATCTAAAGAATACTTCAAATCCAAAAGGAACTAGATCCTTATGAATATTAATGAAGTTAATTGACAGCTGTTGTAAACAAAAGCTTGGAAGACCACAACAAATACTTGGAACAGACTCGGCTGAATCGCACTCTCATTTCAATTAAGAACAGGCTGTCAGGCCAAATCAGGCACTTAACCAAAGACAAACAAAATTCAAAGTTGCAATAAAGCAAAAGCCTTTGACAGTAAATCAATGTGAAGTCCAACTAAAACTTAACATTTCACTGGATAATTTTCAGGCCAGTCTAGAAAACACATTTCAATTTAAAAATACTGTTTCGAATCTTAGATGCAAAAATTTACCAGTGACTGTTTGTACCTGGATCGGCCAGCGAGGCAGCGGCTGGAGGAAATTAGCTTCATAAGGGTAGTCCACCATAGCCAGATCCACCCAAGTCTCCTGAAGCCAATTCTTGAGGACAATGGCATCATTCTTGTTTTTAAGAGGGGTGCATAAACTGAATTCTTCCGACAGCCACTGAAGACCAGACGCTTGTCAAAGGAGAGCAAATCAATGATTAAAGATCATTGGTAATTGATGATAATGATGATTTTGGTAGCATTTAATGACTAGTTTCCACGGCACACCTCATGGTAGCTTTAGCTGCTAAATGCTAATAAAACATTATTTTATAATGGTTGAAAGTGCTCAAACTAACTATTAATAACATATTAAAACTTCATCATAAAACTATCATGTTTCCTCTTTTCAGATAAGAGCAACAACAGAAACCAAAAGCCAATGAAACAGAAAAGTGGAGCAGGACGTGTGCTCTCTATGGCTCTGCCACCAACATCCCTGTGAAAAGGATTTATACTTTGCCAATCAAATAGCCAACTTCTACTTTTCCTTCAAGTCTGTGATTGGTTCTCTGTTTCAACCATCAAACGCCCTTCTCATATTTCCTACTACAGTACTGTCAGTCCTCAGAATCTCAAGTTTGTCAGGCAGATCACAAAGTGATCATCACTGCGACTGGCTAAAAATACAAACATTCATTCCCTGTTTAACTGTATTTTGGTAGATAATACCAAATAACCATGCTGTCACTGTACTTGCTTACTTGTAATGGAGTGTGGTATTGATGGCACTGATCAGTGTGGTTGTGAACTCTCAGTACAGTGTGTCCTGGCTCCAGTAAAAGCTTTGTCTGTGAGTGGAGTGGCATTTTCTCTAGTCTAATAACCAAAGCTTGAAGCATGTGAAGTATTTCTTCTCCTTATTTTGACACTCTGTTAGGAATATTATCAACCTGCATTTCGAAAATATTTGATGAGGAGAAAGTGACGAGACACACTTGAGGATTTTCTACTACTTGGAAATGTCAAAGTTGATTATATGATTGATATAAAGGGCGTCATTAAAGTTGTATCAACATTTTTAATTAGTTTACCACTAATAATGTGGTAAGAACAAAAAGTACCACTCGGTTCAATAGAGATTATTCCTTCAGTTTAAGACTGTGACCATAGAAATAGTACCAGGGGGATGCTAAAGAAACACACTCTTATTGAGTTTTCAGTGGAATACTGAAGAACTCAGACAGGCTAAGTCATACAGATGATAAATTTTATGGATTCACGTATTAGGTCTCACAATCTGTCCTCTGTGGAGAGGCTCTAAAGTTTATACCCAGTAGTATTGCAGATTTTAGTAACAGCTGTCAGGTTTCAGGCTTTAGTAGATACTTGTACCACTTAACAAATATGGACCATATGGAGAGAAATTCTTAAAATCCAGAAACTGTCTTCATAGATAAGATTAAACATGGTTAATCCTGAATAAATCAGGTTTTCTGTAAAATTAAGCTAAATCAACCCACGAGCCATACCAGTGGAAGAGACATTGTTTATAGCCTTCCATGACTTTCTGATGTTTGCATCACAGTTAGAGCCACTCTTGGCGAAGTCCTGCGTTACTATTTTGTAGAAGTCTCCACATGGCACCATACCAGGGAACTGCCATATTGGTGCAGAGGATGCCAGAGCTCTGAAATAAAAAAAGAAAACCACTTCTAATTTTCTCTCAAAGATATGCAAACTAACACCTGACATAAAACATTTGTGTATGGCGTTAGCTGGGACACCACAGTGAATACAAAGACGGTATGAAATTCATGATAGCTGATCTGATATCTGAGGCCTCGTACTTCTACAGTGCTTCTTTTAAGACACACGGCACAGATTCATACACAGCCAGTGTGTATTACAGGCATTTATTTACCAGCAGGAGATGACAACAGCAATATTTAGAGGTACTGGTCAATCTGGACTCCCTTTTAGTCTCTTCAGTGTCCTTTGGTGTGTGCACACACCATTATGTCATTTCGTTATAGAAAAAAATACATTTATCTGTTTTTCTACTATTTAGAGCTGCAAAAATACAAAGCTAGTACATATTTGGGTAAAGATTACAAGTAGGTCTCCACCACTATATTATTATCTTCTACATTAATATCTTACCCAATAACTATATTGGGGTATTTCATCCTGAACCAGGCAGACAGCATCCCTCCATAGGAGCCTCCAACAGCGATCACCGGGCTGTGCTGAGCTCCAGGTAAAGTGCTCTTCAGGTTTTGAATCAGTACTGCGAAATCTGCCAGGGCCTGCTCTGAGGTCAGGTAGTTCATGTGTTTGCTGTCCTGCAAGGAAATAACATATTTTCAGAATGGTTATGCATCTGCAAAGTCATTTATTTTCAGACAAAATATCCTTAAAATAAAAAAACGGAGCTTTTGTTAGCACTGTAATTTACTGACTGTTGTGGAACCCCCAAAATTCAAAAAGACATGTAATCAATCAGGTGTAAATGCTCATATGTCACACTGCAGCTGCACTTACACTGAAAGAGTCTTGTCCAAACGGCAGGGATTCTCCATAGTAACGATGTTCTGCAAAAACCAGCATGGCTCCCAGCTCCTCTGCTATTTCCCACATGAAGCCCTGCCAATGACAGGTGATGAATTAGACTGAGGATTATGTGCAGTATGAATGCATAAACTGGATGTTCACCGTATTGTTGCAGAACCAGGTGATGTCGCCTTCATTGCCAGTGTAGAACATAATCGGTCCTCCAGGCTGCTGCCAGTGTTTGTCAGCCACAAGGTATCTCTGTTTGAAGGTGCCATCCTCTAGGAATCCAAAATGATCAATCTGTAACAAATAAAAAGGAGTCAATAAACGTATCAAATGTAAATGTAAAACCTGGGTACAGTTACAGCTAAGCAAAAGATATTACTGTCAGAACTGCTGGTAGCCGGTGTCTCCTGCCAGTTGTGTAGAGAGGGCAGGAGTCTGATTACTCATGAGCACAGAGGAAGAATTTATGCATAAAAAAAGCTTTAATTTATTAAGATTGCAACAAATGAGGCCTTGTCTACATGAAAAAAAGGTATGGTGGAAGATGAAACAAGTGTTTTTGTTAAGATGATGAAATATTTTCTGACAATTAATCAAATTAAATGTTCTGTATGCCAATGTGAAGTGCTGTTGACATTTCACACAAAAAAAGAGACTGCACATTCATAAATTCGGTTGCATCTTTGTTAAAGATTATGTTGAAACTTGTGACCTTCCTGTCTGGCATAAGCAATGGGTTCCCTGTTTATAAGTGAGCTGTGCACTCTAAAGTGAAACATCAACAGCCCTGTAATATACTGCAACCTTTGTAAAGCTTTTACCATTTAGCCGACACTGTCAGAGAGGTGCTGACTCACTGCCTTGTGAGGCTGTACTGAGAGTTTACTGTATATTATACATTCATACTGAAGGGCAAAGGTAACTGGGAATATTAATCCCTACTGGGACTAGCTCTTAAAGTGCAGAGAAATTAGGGATTTGTCTTTATATCTAACAGCATATCTAAAGCAGTTGAGCAATTAAAAAAAAAATCCTTAGTCAGTAGCAGACAATGTAAAATATAATCTAAAGATCTGTAAAAGATTAGGCTGCTGTGCACTGGTCACACATGGTGGAAAAACTAATGCACTCATAATTGATCCATGTTAAAGGTTAGGGCTGGTGAGTTTCTATTTTTGGATTACTTTCCACAACTTCCACACAAAAATTAATACTATCGATAACTTTTGTGAACTCACTGTATTGTCTGAGAAGCCAGAACCTGGTTTAGCTCATTCACCTGTGCCATTTACTTCCACTGTCGTCCAAGGATACACCAGTGGGTCACTCTGCTGCATTAGCATGTTTCTTCCTCACAAAATATGCGAGGCCTGTCTTAAAAAAACAATAGCAGAGAAGTGTATACAGCAGAGATCACACACCTGTGCAGGTGACTCTTACTTCAGAGGCTGTAAAAAGTGATGTTTAACAGCAAAAAGGGTTTAGATTCGGAGACAATACAGCAAATACAAGACGTATTCATTTTTAGTTTTAGTCACTATATTTCCACTGTTGGTGGAAAATAAAAATAGAAAGCCGCACGGTGGTGGGTGTGATCGGCGGACACCTGGGCCTGTGCCAACCTTGTGAAATGACTGCACTGAGGTTGGATTATAAGGCAATTAGCCCCAATTTGTATTTAAAAAAAAAAGGTTGGAGCTCATTTAAGGGATGCAACATTAGTTACACTTTAGATGAGCTGTGCAATATCCTTTCATAAACCCTCTCAACTATATGTAATGCTTTTTAGACAAAGGCAGGCAGACAGAAACCAACTACTTCAGAGGAGACAGCCCCATGAGACTGCTGAGATGTCCAATCCTTGAAACAGCCCCAACACTTAATAAAAAATGTTTTTGTTTTGTTTTTCCCCCCTCCACACTCTCTTCTCCCCTCAGTGAATATAAAGGAGGCAGAAATTTTATGAGCCAATGACAGCAAAAGATTGTGAGGCCTCAATGTGCTCATTCAACCCTCGACTGCTCAGCGCTTGGCAGTGTTTTTAAGTGTGAGGGGACCATGAGATAGTTTAAAAGAAAAGCTCAGCAGTTTGGCAGAACAGTACGTTTCAGCTGTATTGATCACTTTAGATGCAATGCTAGAATAAATAACAAATAAGTTGCTTTACATTATTTAAAAAATTGCATATTTGTTTGCCATTTGTATGGTTTCAATTCAGAAATCGTCAACTACTGAAAGTCAACTTCTCCACAAAAATATTCCTTAAACAACTATGATCTCAATCCCAGAACTAAAGTGTCTGAATATAAAAGGGAACCCTGGGCACTGTGTCACTTGCAGCCACTCAGTATGCACAACACAAAACCTAAGATTTGTTTCATAACAGTTCCACACTCTGATAACCAGCGCCACCATGTGGTTACTGCAGGTAGCACTACAGCAGTTTGCTGCAACTAAAATTCTCACTAAATCTGCTGGTCCCAGTACATGAAGGAAGGAAGGAAGGAAGCCCGCATCTTTAGTCTAACAAAATGAAGACATGGAGGGAAACAACCACAGCACAAGCTCCAGTAAAGCACAGCAGTTAATTTGGAGGATGCATTAGGACACTTCCATTCATTGTCTGGGGGCCAAATGAAGTCGAGAGGATTTCCTCTGGACAACTGCTGGAGCGCTTCACAGCAGCTTGTCTCACAGAGTGGAGAAAAAGGCTTCATGACTGATGACTTCTTTCTTTTAAAGTAACTGCAGACTTGCCGCTGGTAATACAAGTGGATTACAGGGATTTTTTTTTTTGTTGTACTTGTCAAATAGAAATACGCATTTTCTTGTTGATTGACTAACAAAACACATGAGACAAGACAATGGGTGTCAGTGGGAGGAAATGGTCTTTATCTTCTTGTCGGCTTGGCTGATTAGGCAGGACGCTGTGGCCTGGACCAGGTGTGGAGCATTGTCACCAAACCCAAATACTGTTCACTGCACACACACACTGACAGTATGGAAACATAATACAGAGCTGCAAATTATATTTTTTCTTATAGTTTTTGGTGAATCTGCTGATTATTTTTATTTGAGGTTTGGGCTCTAAAATATCAAAAAATTGTGAAAATTGTCTTTACAGATGAACTGAAACAGCGAAGTGGCCTCCACTCACTGTCTAAAGTGTTTACTTTATGCTAAACTAATAACGGTTATGTCATCTTTGAAATGTGTGTAACCTGGTTAGTTTACTTTTCACATCCCTCACGGCAGGAACAGCAGAGCAATTAAGACACAAGCACAGTTTTGTTACTGTATAAATCAGGCTCACAAGTCATTAAACATGATGTTGCATTGCGTACTGCAGCATACACTCAATGTGCAATCTGATTGTCCCAAACCCAAATTGTTATGGCTCTCTCTCTACTACAGGAAGTCACAGGGAAACACCTATTGACTGCAGACTCGAACAACTTCTACAGCAAAAGACATATATCTGCAAAAGAATATCTGCACTGAACATTTTAGAAAGAGCAAGTGATGCAGCTCTTACCACAAACAATGAAAGACTGTGGTAAATAAACAAAGGTGGGCAAATTATATGAGCCAGCAATCATCACTTATCAATCACATTATCAGTGTTTTGTGGTTGTCTTTTAAAGATTCTGCTGTCATTTAAACACCAGTTTGGAAATACTGTATTGGGTTACTTCACAAGTTGAGGATCATATTATCTCTTTGGATAAATATTCATTTACACACCTTAACTCAGCCCTTAATCAAAATGTAGCCTAAAGTGAAAGAGAAAGAAGTAAAAAAAGAGGAAGAACCAGTCTAAAATAGACCTATAACCCAATATGCTCATTTTCTGAGCAATTTTAAACTCACCTTCTGGCCAAAGTAAAAGGTTTCATAGCTGATGGGGGGCCCAGTGGACTGGGGGAACCCACCGAACCTGGTGAGAGGTTGGGACTTGAGAGTGACCACGTGTAAACAGCCAAAACACAAGGTGAGGACGCAGGCAGCTGCAGCTCTAAACCAAACCGCCGTCCAGCCTCCAGCTTTCATTGCTGCTACGGTCTGTATTGCCCACAGCTCACAACAAACTGGTCTTCAGTCCATGACAATGATCTTTCTTGGCTTGCACGGGGGGGAGGTGACCTGTCCCGTCAAAGAAAGGAAGTGAGACTCAGCCAACCAAGAGATGTTAGCAGGGCAGATGCGTCCTGCTGCCGCACACAAAACATCAAGTTCCACGTTTCCCCAACATTTCAATAACTTATATAACTATAATTTAACTGGAGCCGCCCGGCAGTCAGCAGACACGGAAGATGGTTTCTGTTGTAAATGCTCTCGCAAGGGCTGATGGGAGTCTGAGTTTTACATGTTCAGCGATTTTACCGTGGATGTACTGAATCTTAAAGCATATGTGGATGTCTCCATTCTCACTACGAAGACTTGTTACGTTTGCTTCGAGTGTAAATTCCATATTCCGTTGCCAGATTAATCGGAGAATTTGATATTTAAATTGTATACTGGAAATGTTACTATGCTGTTATGTTTACCAAATATTGTTGGTGCTAGTGCTGTGATGTGTGTAATATGGCTTACTATAAATGATGACTACCAAATACTTTTAAAGTTTTTGGAGATATTTTAGTTGGCATTATGTCTAATCTTAGAAACAATGCATGCACTGCTGACTATATTAGTCTTACTTTGAAAGCACTTGCCTGTAGTAGTAGTAGTAGTTACATAGTGTGACCACTGGATGGCGGTATACTGTTGTCAAACGTCAACCAAGGGCACAAACTCTTCCGGCAGCCTTTCAAAATACTACTTATGTAGTCACGCACTGTAACCTGACTGATCAGCGGTACTGGACACGTTTTTACACTCGTGATAGTCATCAACTCCACAAACATCAAGGCAGACATTATAGCATACTTTTGACTTCCAGTGAAATATTCATAATACACCAACCGACACCTTTCTGGGAATAATACATTCTGCCTGTCTAACTCTTGAATTTCTTTAATAATCAATATCATATAACAAATACACGACTTGTAGTGTAATTATTTAATGTTAATGCACAGAGTAATTTTTAGGGGTTATTTTTGTACACATAAAGGAAAAGAAGCACAATGTCCCAATAGTGTTTTCCTTTGTATTTCCCATATTCTGTTGAAGAGAGGATGTTAAGGGAATAACAAGTAACTGCTGTTAAAGCTAAGGTAAAGGGCAAAACAAAATGCTTGCCAATTGTACAAAGTGATTACTGAAAGTAAAAAGTATAAATGCAAAGTGCTAAGCTATACTACAAGTCTGTACAAAAAAAAAAAAGACAAAATGTTACAATAAAATATGTGTGCAGTATATGGCATTGTGCAATACAGTACATTACAGTTAGGGCAAATATATGAAAGATAAAGTTAGACACTAAAAATTATGGCAAAACATGCTGGACAATCAAATTTCACAATAAAAGCATATGAAATACATCAAGTCGGGAAACTACATGAACAAACCCCTTCAAACAAATAAGAAATGATTCAATTTCATGGCTAGGCAGCAACAACAGAGGCAGAGATGTTCACGTCTAAGGGTAAAAGTATCAGTCAGAAAAAAAGGCAAGTGATTCAGTTGTTTATCATTTCTACTGATGATGGACAACTTCAGGAGGTCTTCCCCCTGCTTCAGACTAAACCAGCTGACTTATCATACGCACTGCCAGTATACTGTACTAAACAAAATAATGGCACCACAGAATACTGTCTAAATGTAGTATTTATATGCATGTTTCAATTTCTGTTATCTAACATAAAAACATATTTTAGCAGCAAGTAAAAATCTTGTACTGAAAACAAATATTTCACAGTTTATAACTACCCAGTAACAAAATTATGAAAGTTAATAAAACTGTACGCAAGTCTCAGAACAGAAGAAACTGTAGTGGGAAATAAATGATTGTGCAACAAATTTAAGGGGAAGTTTGCAACATTTTTTGCAACTTGATCAGACTTAATAATCTCAAACATGTTCTGTATGTAAACATACTGTTGGCATTAACTGATAACCTCCCTTGATAATGAAACTTGTCTGCTTTGTGGAAGGTGTGACAAAATACCTGGTAGAGCATTTTACTCACATAATACTGCTGGTGAATACTGATGTGTAATGAAAACTAAAAGAGGAAAATTCTGCAATTTCATCATGAAGAGGACAAAAGTGAGCCCTATTCAGATTCCTGGATGCATCAGACAGCCATACTTTACACTGCTTGCTCCTGGAAGGCCAAACTAAAGCTAACTAACTCCCTTGTACAGCTTAAAAAGGCATGGGGCTAGAAATGACAGGAATAAGTGGCTTTATGCCATCTTAGAGGGATGGAGGCATTGAGGCTCAGCCATCTGCCCTCTACAGTCAATGGCTACTGAGTTACCATGGCCAGAAGGCTGAGCTCTCTCTAATTGAGGCTGCAGCAGCTCAAGTAACTGATGGTTTTACCCTCACCAGGCATTGGGGCAGTGTCATTGTTATCCAGCTTGTTCTGCTTGGCCTCTCGAATGAGTTCGCACGCCAGGTCGAGGAAAAGTTTCTCAACATTGTCAGACTCTTTAGCTGAGGTCTCCAGGTACAGCATGCTCTGAGCCTCGGCGAAGTCTTCAGCCCTCTGTCTGAGAACCTCTCTCTTCTCTGCCAGATCTATTTTATTACCTGCAAGACATACAATTCAACCTGTCAACATATATAACAAGAATGTGGCTTCTTGCATCACAGCAGAGACTGTCTTTCCAAACAGTGGTGGGTGTAGATGAGGCAGATGGAAGTGGAGGTGCATGAGAATGTGTGGGATGGATGTCAGCTTTTCCTGAGAAGTGACAAAAAATTTCACATAAATCCCACATTTTCCCACAGAAACAAAAGCGGCTTTGTCTTCTGCAGATCTATTCAGGAACTGCCTCTGATATTAGCTCAGTGACTCATTCGTTTAACTGGGCTCAGAAGGTCCAGCCAATTTCAATAAAATATAGTTAGTGCACAGTATTATTCACACTCTTCTCATAATGAATAATGAGCCTGATGATAAAAGAGGTCCATTAAAGTACAAAGTAAAGTTTCCTACCGACTAATATAGTCACCACTTGGTTGTTGGCATACTGCTCAATCTCCCTCAGCCACTCTGGAAGGCACCTGAAGGAGTCCTCACAGGTAATGTCATACGTTAGAATGAGGGCGTTGGCACTACGGTAATAACTCTGAGTAATGGAGCGAAATCTTTCCTGTCCAGCTGTGTCCCATATCTGCAGCTGGAAAACAAACACTTGAAATGAGCAACCATCCATCCAAAGTGTTACACAACATGAAAGCATCTGATTTTATATAAAACATCATTTTAATCTTTGTGTACCTTGACCTTCTCCCCTTTGATTTCCACAGTTTTAATCATGAAATCGACTCCTATAGTAGCCCCTTGTCCAGGTGGGAAAAGGCCCTGAAATTGGATTATATAATGTAATATATGACATTATATTAGAACATTCTAATACTCTGGAGGGGAAGCAAGCACAGATAAATACAAACCTGAGTAAAGCGCCGGACGAGACATGTCTTCCCAACTCCAGCATTTCCTATCAGAACTATTTTGAACAGGTAGTCATAGTCTTCCATGCTCATGCTAAACTGTGAAAAGGAACAAACCAAAAGGGAGATTAGTAAATGCATTAAAACCAAATCAGCACATTTCAATACATTTAGACATCTGTCTTTAGTGCATGTTCAGGCTACTGGCATAGTCCTGAGAAGTCCTGAACTGAGGCCATTAAACTGTTGTGACAGCAACAGGAGGTAAACATCATCAGGAAAACCCAAGGCTGACATTTGGCCTGAGTGAACTATGCCCTGGTTCAGATCTCCCATATGTGAACCTGAGCTCAGGTTTTGCTCATTTGTACCAGTACACCTGTACTATACTGGAAACTGTGTCACAAAGGGAAACAGAAGTCTCTATTCCTCAGCTCTTAATAAAACGGGTTTGATGTCTCTGGTAGTTGCTGACTTTAATGATAAAATACATATTTTATTACATTTTATTTTCGCTGGATGCGACATAATTAACGTTTTAAATAATGAGCACAATTTGAATTCTGAGAAGAAGAACACAAAGTTACATACACGAAATGTTTCCCTCTCACTTCACTGGATTTTTCCATTTCTAAATCATATGTGCGCAACGTGAGACTCCTAATATTTTTGCTTGGCTGCAATTTTCGAGGGCCCTGCATTACTTGGGAGGATTGTTAAGCCAGGGAGGCTTGACACACCGCTGAAGTGAGCAGTCTGTAAAAAGGACAAAACGCCAGAAGATTTGTTTCTTATGTCTGCGTGCAAATAAGTCAGCGACATGGGAACCAGGGATAATAACATACATTTTCAGTATTTTCTGCAGCACGGTTACCTCTGCTCCGATTGCAACACTGTGACTCAGTATGTACGTGGAAGCTAAATACCCCATTTTTAAAAAACTGTAGTTTGCGAGAGGATTTGAATATCTGAATGCCAGCGTTGACACAATTAACTCATGTTTTATGGTTTGATACAATTGGTATCTCGCTTGGATGCCAATTTACCCTGCGTCGCATTTTCTTCCTCGCCCTTTATCTTTATCTTGTGTTGCAATGCAAATAATCACTGTAGAATTCTGACTAGACTTAATCTGGGTTAATGTTACATTTCTTCGAAATAAAGCTTCTTTCTCAGTCTGAGTTCATAGCCATTAGGGCGACGCTAGCAACAGTAGCAACTAGCAGCTACCGTGCGAATCTAGCCATTTTGGTACTCTGTAGATGCAGGAGGGGGAAATAAATCAAAAGTCAACACTGCGCATCGAGCAGGGAAATAATTTGCACTTACCAAAACCACGGGGATATCCCCGGACTTATAACTACTTAGTATGCATAGGTCACCTCATCAAACAGGCAGAGCCGCAGCTAAGCAGGGCATAATTCCTGTGGCTGTGTATCCTCAGCAGCTCAGCAGCCTGTCTGATAGAGGAGTAGGAGGAGGACTGCACTCGATGATGTCATCAGCTCACATGCATAGTACATCTACTGAAGTACTGCAATTCACTACTATTCTGTGTTCTGCTTTGTTAAAATGTTATAGTTTTTTATTTCACTGCATTTCACTGGGAATACGCGCTTTATTCTATAACTATATCGACTGTACAGCCAGGACTATAGGGGTAATGGCAAATAAACTCATTCTTGATCTGTAACGTGATTAACAAATTGGGTAGCTCACCTACAAATGTAGAGCAAAGGCTTATGCCGTGAGACATTTAATTAATAAAGGGGGGTCATCTTCAAATTGAGTACTTGTAACGTCATTATGAAGGATACAAAGAGTTGAACACAATACATGTGACGTCAACGTTGGCGTTAGTACTAAGACCATTAGCCACTACTTCCACTGTCATTACTACTACTTCTAGCTTTACTTAAGCTACGAATAAATAATGGTTAGTGTGAAGTCGCTAACTGCTAGCTGCCAATAGCCAGCTAGGTACCAAAATTAGCCAGTAAAAATTTAAGTAAGAGTAAGCCACTATCTCACAGCAAGCCTCGAGTAATATATATTATCTATTTAACATGTAAGTTATTTTACAACAAATAAAAGGTAACAAGTAGGCAACAAAGTAATCAGCCTTATAGGTAAAGTTTTATTTTCTTGCGTTGGTTGCTAGGATACACATTCGTCGGAACTGAAAAGCTTTTCACTTATTATGCCCGGACATTTTATTAGATTGCACACCATGTCCTTGACTTCCTAAGCTAGGTGAAAGCCGATGAGTGGAAATAGGCAGCTCGGAGGTTACTGAGACCTTAACCTTTTGGATTTAGCTTATATTGTCTCGCTATGGGCTTCATACCAGACGAGAGAAAGAGCCTCCCTCCTCCGGGAATTGTTAATAGGAATTCGGTGTGGCTGGGGTTTATGGGCTGGGCCACTGCGATGTTTCATAATAGCCTTAACCAAAGGCCGCCGCTAAAATCAGGTTAGCATGTTTGTTAGCTGGTTAACGTTACCAGAGTTTAACTTGTCTACAGAGATGCACTTATGCCACATTTAATCAAAAACCATTTGGGTTTTCTACAATTTTAGAAAAATGTCGCAAGTTAAATAATAAATCATCTTAAGAAGTTACTAGCAAACTATCAAGTGATTGTTTTGTTTCTATGGACAGACACAGGAAAGGCTAAGCTAAATATGCAAGTTAAAATGAATAAACACAATAAACTATCCCAACAACATGTCCAGATGTGTATGTTTATACTTAACCTGATATAGTCTAAGTTGTACTTATGAAACTTGTTCCTCCTTATTTTGAAACGTATAAGGTGAAAGCCTGTTATACCTCATAAGCATTATGAAAGCTCTTATGCTTCCAGTGCAAAGTTTATATTATAGTAGTTACGTCCTATTTTCCTTTTTTAGGTGTTCATCGACAAGTCCTGCTGACAACAATTGCTTGGTACCTTGGCTACCACCTTACAAAGCATGCAAATTACACTTACGCCAAACGTGATCGAGATATGAACGAGTATATCAGACGCCACCCAGCTGAATTTCCAGAAAAGGGTAAGTAAATGTTTAGGCATTTTCGTTTCACTAACAGAAGACAGTCATGGGCATGGTGAACATTTGAGGCATAATTCGTAGGTGTCAGGCAGATTTTCATTCAACACTTGGAAATGATTGTTCAAAGAGGCTAGCACAGGGCTTGTTTTATTGTCTGTATATCAGATAACAACCACTCAGTACCTACTGGCTTACCACCACTCCGTATGAGCAAGTGTAAACACATTTTCTTACTATGTTGCCATATTGTATTATTTTTCATATATTCTACCATAACAGTAGTCATATGCTAATCACACACCAGAATCTTCAAATATAGTCAATATAAGGATATAAAATGCTATGCTCTCTAGTTTGTGCCATAATTTCTGTGATGTTTGAGGTGCAGTAGTACAGTTAGGTTTTTCAGGGAAAATTTAAAATAAGGTGGCATTTGTATGCCTGTAATCAAACTGTTTGTCTCTGATGTATCTCACCAGAAAAAAAGACCTTTGCAGAGATTGTCGAGCCTTTCCATCCTGTGCGCTAAGTATTGGTGAAAGGGAAGGACAAGAAGGAGAGAGAAACATTTACAGACTACCATCTGTCTCCAGGGGACCTTTCTTCTTTCTGTCATATTGTGTGAATTCTGTGTAAATAGGAATACTGAAATTAAGCATTTTCTGACTGATGAGTCAAAACAATAAAATGGCTCCCTGTAAGATTGTGTTTGAACATAAATCTGAGCACTGCTCTTTTTGTCATGATTATTTCATCAGTTTCCAAGGGGCTACAGTTGGTAACAGAAGACAAAGAAATTATCTGTTTTTGCAGTGCACATTTATTTCATATTTGTTAAGTTAGAAATACGGGGTTATTGGATGTAAACAGTTCAGATTTTAGAGATGTGCATGTACATCACTTTTACTGAGTTGAGATGAGTTGCTTGAGGTCTGCACATCGTTCATGCTTCTAATTTGCCACTCCAATGATGTCCTTGTATTTCTTAGTAAGGCTCTGAGTCTTCTTGGTGAGGTCACTCATCACAGAAAACAGTCCCCTCAGGTGGAAGTGGAAGAGGACTTCAGGATCTGTGTCCAAGAGAGGCTCCAGGGTCTTGTTAAGTGCTGTGTTGATGTTGTGGTCATCGAGGGGAACCGGGCTACTCTCCACTGTGTTTCTTATGGCTTTGAGCATCAGGTAGCTCCCATGCAGGTCCCTAAAGGTCTGTGTTGCTTCACAGTCCCATACATCATCAGAGGGCACATCTCGCAGCAGACTCGGCAAGAGAATGGTCTTCTCCATGTCACTGACAGCTGAGGTGTACCGACTCAGAGCCAGCAGCAGGCTGCTTGTGTCAAACTTCGCTGCGGCAGGCTGCATGGTTCTGGTTGGATGTGGCCGGCTGTTCTTGTGCTGTGGTGTCGGACAGTAGGAAGTAGTGTGCCGTGCAAAGAAAAGGAGGCAGATACTGGTGAATTTATATGTTGAGCAGAGCTGGGTCAGGTGATCAGTAACTGAATCATCCGATAGATTTAGAAATGCTTTGAGTGTTATGTGCAGTCAAACCCTTATCTTTATTTGATTTACACAATCTGCAGTTTCTCAGAGCTTAAAATAGTGTTGGTGTACAGCAAAATGAACCTCTAATCATTAACCATGCGGAACGTTATGTTCGGTTGACCTCAGACAGAAGGGATAACATGGTCTGTTATTGATTCACTGAAGTTCAAAACTGAACTGAGGGATATCACATTTTGACCCAAACTATAGAATCTTGGTGTTAAACCAAAGTCAGCTGTTTAGTGCAGATGTCTAAACAAGCGCATTCAGCACAAGAAAGAGCACAAACAGAAGGAATAGCACACATTCCCTACAGCCCTCGGGTGATTTACAGGGAGATTACATGATCTCTGATCTTGTAATCTGATTGGTCTAATCTGATCCGATTGGTCAGTCAGTTCATGATGGGACTTTACTCTTCATCAAGCACGTTCAATACACTCGCTGCTCAACACTACCCTCTGGAAGTCCACCAAAAATGATCTAAGTCTCCACACAGCTTGTTAATAACCAGTTTAGTTCCCAGCTTTCTGCTGTTGACCCTTGATAATGATTTCCAGGACGTGGGTAAGATCCATCATCTTAGTGAGCATATCCATTATGTCCGGATGCTCCCTTGCTCCACTGATGAACTCCTCCAGCGTCAGCTCACCTGATCACACAAATACAGTGATGTAAACACCATTATCTTAAGTATTACAGTTTGTTTAGAAAATTTGAGTTTATAATTGCAATAAGGTGTGTAATAATGACTTTACAAAAGTAAGCAATGATCAGGCTGTCTGCTTAAACATTCTTTCCTATTTCTGCAGCTTCACCGTGAAAACGGAGACTGGGTATTAAGTGTTTGTCATTAAGGACACATTCTGAGAATCTGATAAGCTGAGGATTGATAATAAGAAATTCATTACCTTCTCCTTTGACATCGATTCTTTCATATATAAGAGTCACAATCTCCTCTGGGGGGATGTCATAACTCCTGGTGATATCTTGAATTGCCTGATAGAAGTGTTTACATGATTAATTGTAAGTTAAACATATACAGACACAGGTCTAATAACTTCATATGATGCTGTGCCTGCTTCCATTTAGCTGCTCAGTAGTGGAACTAACCAGGCTGACTTAACTGTATGTTCAACTTTTACTACTAGAAGAAGGCCTCAGATTCTTTACTTAAGTAAAAGTAGAAATACCACAGTGTAGAAATATTCTATTAAAAGTAAAGGTCCCTTAAGTAAAAGTATAAACATATTAGCATCGAAATGTGCTTTGGATTATAATTACAGATGCATTATTGTGTACATATTTAATGTTGTAGCTGGTTTTAACTACTTTTAAATGTATAATCTGAATTAACGCCTGGTGTGACGGTGAACTTCCCACCAGGGATCAATAAAGTATTATGATTATAATGCATCTTGTTTAATTAATCAGGTTCTGAAAAAGAACTAGTAACTAAAGTTATCAAATAAATGTAGTGGAGTAAAAAGTACAATATTTGCCTCTAAAATGTATTGATGATTAGGTAGGAAGTAGAAAATGAAAATACTCAAGTACAGATACCTCAAAATTGTACTTCAGTACTGTACTTGAGTAAATGTACTTAGATACTGTCCACCACTGACTACACCTGCTACTGAGGCAAGATGTTTTGCTTGAGGTCTGCACATCTTACATGCTTCTGATTAGCCCCACCAATGAACTTCCAGTGCTACTATAACCGTGGCACTTAGAAGCCTGGGCCTGCAGACTGTACAGATTGAAATGCATTCCACAGTGGGTCCTCTAAAGAATAAGCAGTATAGATAATGGAAGAACAGATGAAGTAACTGGGTCATGACTAATTGTGCGATGTAATCTGTAGGGCGATTGCTGTATGACTTTTAGGCAGCAAACTAGGTTATAGACAAGGTCACATTTAGACTTGGGGCTTGATACACTTTCAGAGCAGCTAAACTTTTGGATTCAGGGAACTGTGAGCTGTTCTTCAGATGTGTGAAACATTCAAAGAAAATATACTGAACCTTAAATATAGTCTCCAGTTCATATTTGTCAATTTTCCCATTTCCGTCGTGATCGAAGAGCTTGAAGTACCACTTTAGTTTCTGGTTTACTTCTCCTTTCAGTAATAAACTTATTGCTGCAATGTATTCGACAAAGTCTATATAACCATCCTGCAAAAGAGCACATTAAAGACTATTGGTATTGTTAACTTTTTTTTCTGGGCAGAAAAAATAAATGAGTTTCAGGTGTTTTCTTACCCCATCCATGTCAAAAGTGAAAAAGACTTGGTCCACATAGCTGCTGGCCTCCTCTGTCATACCGCTCATTTCAAGCATCATCTTAAGCTCAAAGAGCGTCATGAGCCCAGAGGGAGACTCCCTCATGAATTTGGTGTACCAGTGGTGCATGTCCTCCTCCAGTATATCATCCAGGTTAGAGCCATGGGCGCCCATTATTCCTCCAGAGCTGTGTCTTTTGTCCAGAATCCCACAGAGAGCTGGCGGTGAGACTGTTACAAGAGAGAATGGTGCACAACAGAGCACTGGCAGCACTGAGGTGTGGCTGGGTCTAGCTGGGTCGCTCTCATGCAACGTCCACCTTAATCTCTAAGTCTTGACTCTTAACAGCCAAAAGAAGAGATAACCCTTTGATAGGATAACTCCAGAAATCTTCCTTGAACCTCAGGACACGGTCCACTGTGCCTGCAGAGGCCTTAGAAACCAGTATCCACCTTCACCTTGATGGACCAAATCTGCCAAGGAGCTGGGGGACAAAGTTGTATTTCTTATTTCTATTATACAGTATACATATTTTTTTATATTTACTCTATATTCTAGTATTTATTTGTCTATTTTATTATGTTTTATATGCTTGTTTTTCTCTCAGGGACAAGTAAAGAGGATATTCACTTTTCTACTAACACCAAAATTAAAGAAGTCTGTAAGAGCACTGAACCTTACACTCATCCACATTATCTCACAATTATGAATAAATAACTAGCCCTGGTGACCCATAACTGACCTGAGCATGGCTAGGTATGACCAATCACAGAGGCAGGTACAACAAAGGTTTGGGAGCAGTGAGGGCTCTTTACACCATCAGAGTATCAAAGCTCATAGTTATTATAGTAAATCTGCTTTTAGATAATTCAGTTCTCAAAATAGGACTGAGAAGATGCACTAACAGTGACTACAGACAGCTAGTATCTACTAGTTTATCATAACCAGGATCCCCCTGCGCTGCACCATGGCATTTGATTTCTCGCTGGTGCCAACAGATTAAGTGCTTACTTTAATGGAACAGAAATAAACACCTGCAGAAAATACCCTCCCTAAGCCCAAATACAGTAGCTTAAGTCAACTGAGGTTGTCTAGTCTGAATCAATAAATGCAGTCTAAACAGACATGGACATGCTTATTAGAGGTGATTCCAACATGTGCAATATTTGTGGGTTTCAAAGAGCAGGTGGAATGACTTGGTTTTATGTACAGTAATAAGCTGTCGAAACCTCTTAGATCCCTCGGCTGCACTCCACCCTTTGACCAGCATGTGACTGTCATGCAGTGAGCTGTATGAGAAGTGCATGTGAAAATATATTCCCTCTTCAGTTAAAAAAGGAAAAGATGGCCCAGAAAAAAAGCTCAGTGTTATTAAGAAATTTATGTCATACATAATATTTCGTTTTATCAATTATCTTATCGGTTTCCAATATTCCAGTTGTGAGGTTAAATCTTCTTTAATCTTGTCTTCCAGTTAAATAATAAAATCCAAACATGGACACACTATATTTTTATGTGCTTGTCTGTAACACTGTCTTGGTATTTTGATTAACAAATCAGGCGTAAAAAAAAAAAGAAAAAAGAGGATTAAGTAACTCAAGATATACAGTACTGTAACTGAATGACTCTAGTTTCACTTTCATAGTTTTACTCTTACATCTGCGTTTCAGCAGTGACAAATACTGTGAAAATAACAGCTTAACACTTTCCCATTGAACTGAAAGAAGTGTGACCGGTAGTGCAAATTCTCATAAATTATATGCACTATGGATTTTATCTGACATGACTATTTCAATCAAAGCACCACTATCCATCTGAATCTGATGTGTTCTTACCATAAAAATTAAAAACCAAACAAAAACCAACACAAAACAAAAAACTTGAACTTGCTCAAGGTTTAGCTCTTTTCATGAAGCCTTGCAGGATGAATTCAGTTGAAGGGAGATCCAATTTAATAACCATCGGGAGGAAGAAGAGTGTTGATAACAATTTGGCGCATACATTAATCACAGCTGTAAACCTGTTACAGGTCAGACATGCTGACATGGTCACTGCCAGGAAACCTCTTGAAATGTGACATACTGACACATATGACTAGTGCTGTTAACAGCCCGGTTCTTGGTCAACTTAAGAGAAAGAGATCATTATACAGTACTTTTTGACCATAAAGGATAAAACTGGGCCACGACATACTGTATGTGAAAAATAATAATCACCTTTATTTGGCCAACGGAGATCCAACCCGCCGACTCTATGGTTATATATAATTTTATAATAAAAAAATGGCTTGTATATACAGTAGAATAGTTTTATATGTGCATGCATAGCCTTCACTCACAACATGAATGCTCCAGCAACTACAATTCCTCCTCTACAGTTCTCTAAAGCTGATATTCGTACAGTGTTTGCTGCTTGCTAGTCAAATGTATTGTGTTCCACAGCTTTGGTTTGCAAATCATGTCTAGTGACAGAGATGCAAAATAATGGAACAGTTATGAAAATATAAATGCTTGTATTTACATTTAAAAAAGAACAACAGGTTTTTCTTATGTACAAATGGTCATACATAAAACTACAGTGATCAGAGCCAGGAAATGAATATAAATACTTGCAGCGCTGACATTTACACAGAAATACACCCTAAACTCTGAAAACAATATAAAAACCGATGTCACATGCTCAAGAAACCCCCAGTTCTATTTACATCCTCCTGTTTAACACAAGGCAGATGTCCATTTTGTCTGAGAAGTCCACACTACTGACTGATTCCACAGTCTTAAAAGCCCAATGAACAGAACAATTGTGTCAAACCCACAAGTATGAGTGTGCATGACTGTGCATGACTGTGGTCATGTTGCATTCTGTGGTAAAAATACATGATATGCAACATGTTTAGAGACTCGTGTTAAAATCACACAAATCATATGTTACATTACTGTAGGAGGTTTAGTTGCAGATAACTGTCTTGTGACTGGTTTTCCAGTCTGTTTGTGAACATTTGTCGTAACTCTCTTCAAACCATGCTTAGGGAAACTGGATCAATGAACAATCTCTCAGATTTGTCTGGCTCCTGGTCATATAGGAACTGTCTGAACACATTGTACACCATCTCCCTGCTCAGAGTAAACTGCCTTAGCTGATCCTGCTGCTCTTCGGGCATGAGGAATGTCAGCTGGTAGTCAGCGATGACTGAACCGTTCCTGTGGGGAATAAAACAGAAGGGCAACACCCATTTCCCCTGTAAAACACACACATGACAAATGACTACATCTGCTGTTTTTATGCAGAAGAGATTATGCGCATTTACCTGAAAGCAAATATCTCAGCTTTGGAGAAGTATTGTCCCAAAGCAGGGGAGGATGTGTAGAGGTCAGCCAGCTGGGTGGAGCGGGTAAAAGCATGCAGAAGCAAACAAAGAGAGAAACGGTTTGGCTGATACTAGCCTACTTTCGTTTTGTCCAGAGCTTTGTATGGCTACTGAAAGCTTTTTAGAAATTCTGTTAGAGATAAAACCAGCTACACAGGGCTCTCATCTGTTGGCAGCAGTAATTGAACAGGTTTTTGTTTTATGAAGCTTGAGTGTCTTTACTGTCTCAGTTTGGAAGGTGTTGATCTAAGTGATGAATTTTACATTAAACATAATATGCAGTTATGTCAGTTCTGCATCTCTCACTAAGTAATACAACTACAGTGTGAAATGTGATTATATTCCACAGTTTGTACATTTGTTCCTACGTGCTAAATTATAGAGACAAGCAATTAGCGTGACTCATTTAAGTACATCATTTGGAATACAGGTCATAATTAGCCAAACCTTTTTTTGAAGGTCAGCGGCGAGCGTTTGGCTTTCAGTGGAGGAAAGGGAGACAAGATCCTCTGTGGAGATCAGATTGGGCAGTTGGAAGCTCCCATTGAAGTACTGAGGCACCTTTAACAATGAAGGGTCTATCTTCTCTTCCTCATCATCATAAATCGCTGCTCAAAGAGAAACTAGGTCAAAGCCACAAAACTGAAAAAGTAAGTGCTCTATTTAAATTGTATAATTTGGGGATATGGTGTTGTAATTAGCTCTGCATTATTTACTTCTACAGGTTCATTAGGAGAAGAGTTGATGGTATGATCTTGCATAAGCATTGAATATTAAATTTAAACTTTGGCCTTTAACTGGTCATGGCCTTGTATCATGATAAATTGCTTGTGACAGATCAAAGTCATTTAAATAATTATTTTTTTTACCTGACTTTTTACTCACTTCATATATTTATTCTTTATTAAATGTAGCATAATTTAACTCTCCTCAATAAACAAACTACGCATCATAAAACCTTACCTGAGCACAAGGCCAGAGAAATAAATATCACAAGCAGGATGATGATAAGGATGATGACAATGACCATCCATCGTCTGATTTTCCAGAAGATGACTTCATTCAGCTCTCTCTTTATCCTGTGCACATTGCTAACCTAGAAATATAATAAAATAGCTTTGTTTAGATAAGGCAGTCTATGGGAGTGCATTTTTGATATTAAGATTGTGGGTAGTGTATTCATTTAATTAGATATAATTTGAGAAATAATACAAAATCCAAATCTTCAAGGTTTTTTTTTTTGGCATTTCATGACAAGCATCAAGAAACAACAAGTCATAGCTGCACTGTCCTCCCAGGATGGATGGGAAAATAACTCAGTGACTTAATATGTGATAAAAAGTTAAGGAGGAATGGCCAATAAATAAACTGCAAATAAGTCTTCATACATCTTGAGTGCATGCGTTTCCCCGATTCATTTGAACTTCTGCTTCATGGCCAGCAGACCCATTACTTCCATCAATCTGCTGAAACATAAAGACACAAACACTTTCCTGTCATTACTATAAAGCGAATCAGTCATTTAAAGTAAGTGTGTTGATTTGTGACTAACACAAGTTGTTGCCATGGAGCTCCTTTCTTGTCTTTTATACAGAAATGAAACCTCATACCAAACAGAATGTCTTGTATGTGCTATTCTATTCTTCTTGCATACTGTAAACAACTAAACAAAACTGAATACCAGATATTGAAGAGCATGTCCTTGATTAAAGCTCACCTGTTCAGAAAGCAACCCGTCTCTCTCGGTTACCTCCACAGTCCTGTGAGCCGCACCATCTCCATTGCCTGTTGTCACCTGGGAGCAGTCAGACATTGGGGAACCTTACTATGAAATGCTAAACACCTCAATGGTCATTTCAGGTGTATGATGATGTATGTTGCATAAAATTCTGCTCATCTTCTTTGTTTGTTTTCTTTTTTGATCATTTGATTAGCTGTTAAGACAGAAAACTTCATGTGTGAAAAGCAGGAAAGAGCAAATGTTTGGCATTTTTGCTTTAAAAAGTTATTCAAGCAATAAACTGATTGTCAAAACAGCTGCCAATTAATTTTCATTCATTGTCAGTTGACTAATTGATTAATGGCTTCAGCTCCAATATTAACAGGCTAAAATGAATATAATTATACAGTAGGCCTGGATATAGTGTGCTTCTATTTATTATCATAAGGATATATATAGTATGTATTTGTTTTTACTCACCTCTTCATTAGCCAAACATGTTGCTCCATCGCTCCCATTTGTTTTCACCTCCTTCAGCTCAAAGTTCATACTGGTTTGCATGGAACTACCAGAGCTAAATGAGAGTTTACTGGAGCCTCGACCCGGAAGTTGCTATTATTTATATTCTACTGAGCTTTTAATTGTGAAAGCGCATCATCCGCAAGCTTCGGTTCAAAAAGGTAAGAAATACAGCAGTTGACAGGTTCGCGCTCCTACACCTGACAACTCGTGGAGAAGTTTCTGTCTCTCATGAATCCATTAACCTAGTTTATTTTTCGAGTGCTCGGTCTTTCCCGGCAGCCAGGTGAATTTCCTTAAAGTTTCGGTCCTGCTGACGTCACAAGGCGTTGACAAATTCCAAAGACAGCGGGAAGACGACGACATGGCGATTGAACAGGACACAACAGCGATAGTTTTTGTCGACGTGACATTATTCACTGCGATTCACAACCAGCCTGACTGTCAAGATATAAATTGTGAAGCTTAATATAACAGAAGTGTGCATGTAAACACTACGCTTTTGAAACATGCAATCCATGGGACAGCTTTATTCCCAAGTCTTTAATCATGATGAATAAATATTTACTTAAAGCAGCCTGCCTACCAAATGGAGCACAGATGTATTTCGCCATTACTGCAATTCTGGAATTGCAAGTCCTAATGGTTTCCAGTAGAGACCGTCAATGTTCAAATAAAAAAAAAAAAACCCGCTTAAACAATAGCCTATGCTTTTACTTGGTTTTCACAATAGTGCTGATGATGCCCTCAGAAACAAACAAATGACCAATGTGTTTGTGCAGCTTGTACAGACACAGCTCTGGGAGGAGGAGGTCTAATCAGGGAAAATAACTGAAATCACCACATCCTTAGATGTTTTAGGTCTTTCACATTTACATTTGTACCATCCCTTCATCTACTAAATATAATATCAAACCTATCTGGCCTCATGTGACAGATGACCTTCCAGCACATTTAGGGTTTTTCTTAGCAAGTCTTTGGAGATGATAACAACAATACATGTACAGATGTAACATATTATTTTCTTTAAATAAGAAGGAAGCAGTTTATTTTCTTTAAATTTCTGTGCATAATTTGTGAGGAGCAGAGCCACTCCACAGTAGCATTGTGATTCAGCTATTCTATAGCATACAAAATAAGAGACAAAATCATCCAAACAAACTAAGCAAAGTATGCAATTGTTAGTGATTTGGTATACTGTCTGAACATTTCTATATCTGCTAACATACAGAGAGTGTGTGTGTATATATACACACATTTTTTTTTATAGTTCAGCATATTTTTATAGTTCTATGTATGTAACAAAGACTTGGAAGTGCACTCTTTACAATGTCTTTGACTTGTGTCAAATCTCAGTAAAGAAAAAATAATGTATTTAACATAAAAACAGAAGTCTGGTCATGCAGACTTGGTACAACATGGAGGAAATGTCTGCTGATCATGGATACAGTATCAGCTGTGATGCTTATTTCCATGTGCAGAAAAACATCCATTTGTCATAATGCTCCAGTGTTTATAGACCTGTTCTATACACGGTCTGGAGAGGTCGACAGAGGGACTTAAAGCAGTAGCAAGAAATTTAAAAAGATGACCTCTTTCTGATGAGTATTGATCAAAGAATTATCTTAATTAAAGCACTGAATAACTTATTCATATGTATATTTTTCTGCTTCACTTTCACAGGTCACACCAAGTCATTTCCTCCTGGGTATGCCTCCTGAGGCATCTCCTCCTGCCCCTCTTCTGTCTCATCGCCCCCTATCTGCTCTGCTGGGTAAGGCTCTGAGAGGTGCTGTACCTCCTCCAAAGCCTCCGAGCTCTGGGCGTGTTCTGATGCCTGCTCCTCCTCTCCAGCTCTCCTTCTTTCTGGGTCATTCTTTGCTACCTCATCTTCTGTCTTTTCACAGTCCCTGTACTTGTCTTCAGCTTCTTTCAGTTGGCTGTATTTAGCTTCTACTGCTGGGTAGTCAAAAACCTGGTCCTTGTCTCCATTTTCTTGTGGGCTGTACAGTTCACATGGGGACAGAGTGCTCCCAGAGGCTCCCGCCTCATCTCCAGCTGACCTTCTGTGCTGTCTCGTGGGAGGACGCCTCTTGAATGATAGCCGTACACGAGTCTGTGTGGAAAAGATGAGTAAGAGCCAGCAGATCATAATTTTAAACAAAAATTTTAAAAATCAATCAGAATTCTACAATTTACAAAAGTGACACATTTATATTTAATATAATTTCTTTTATATGACCAAAGGATTTCTTGTAACTGTTAGCATATGTGCAAGAGCACTGCACAAAATGGTCTCTAGGGACTCTTATCTAGGCTAAGGGGATTACATCTTCAATCCCCCCTTCCAGCAGTACTCATGCACTATAGCGGCATCTTGTGCAAGCTTATCCAAAGCCCACTTAAACAAGATGCAAAACACCCTCCAAGAATCACATATACAGGGATGTGGCCCATGTGTTTAGCTGTGATGTCACAGGTCACTCAGCAAATAGCGTGAGAAACACTTCGGGGACCTTAAGGTGACAGTAGCTCATGTTTGTGATGTAGTGACTCAGAAGTAATGTGCAAAACAGCCACACAAATATATGAAATATGATCAAATCAAAAACTCTTACAAAGGATCTGTAATCATAAGCATGATAACTAGAATAATACTGAACATTTCAGCCTTCTGAAAGTCATGCTGTAAAACACAATACTGGAAGTAACACTATGAAACCAGGCCCACTGCATTACAAGGAGATACCGTAACAAATGGTACCGATCCAGTTGTCCTTAATGTTGTCAAGTTAATATTTACCTTGTTGATGCTCGGCAGCGGGGCGCCTTCAGGAGGGCTGTCGAAGCTGACAGCATCCTCTTCTTCACTAGACAGATGTGAGGGTTGCATTGTGGGGCTCAGGGGGCTCACTGGGCTGCAGGGCATGGTGGGGGACAATGGTGATGGATGTGGCTTCACCTCAGGACAGGCAGATGAAGGCAGCAGAGCAGTGGGTGACAGAGCAAGATTGGCCTGCAGTGGGACAAAAAGACTGACTCCTGGACACTACAGTATAATCTCTTTAATGGGTTTTGTTCTACTAAAGATAAATGATTTAAAAATGGCCTTAATAGCTGGAAAGACATTTATCCAAATAAAGCCTAATATATATAAAAAAGGGGATTGATTAAACTAGAGCAAATCAGGTTTATTTTAAAATAGGATTCACTTGATTAGGAAATGTAAGTAAGAAAGACTAAACTTTAGTCCCAGGAATTAGTCCCCCACTAAAATGTGTAACTTCATTTGAAATTTTTAATAAAGAGAACATTGTTCTGCTAGGATCTGTCACATACTTGAAAAACCCCTTGCCAGGAGTATGTCCTGAAATTCCCTTTTACGTGTCACAGCATGGTCATGATCAGTCTGAGAAATGAGCAACATAAAAATGTGAGCAAGCCCCCCAACCACTGTTCAAGTTCAGAGTGTCCTACCTGTACTGGAGAGAGGAGGAAGAGGGCGAAGCGGCAGCCCTTTTGTCCCATGGCTGCTTACAGTAGTGTGTGGCCTAATGGATGGTGGTGAGTCAGAGCCTCACCAGAGGCTGGGTGGGCCATGATCCCATTAGCCCATTAATCTGAGCCAACTGTGGCATCAGGGACAAGCACATCCTCTTTTTCCTCAGAATGCAAGCAGCTCATGCAGCAGTCTAAACTGAACAGTGGGTGGCAGCGCTGCTTTAAACATCTTCTGACTATACAGACTCCTGACTACATGCTACATCCTACAAGTACCTGTTCTGTGATCCTAGCAATTGTTTTGTTTCCCATTTCCCCTCACCACATGTTGCACCAACCTGCAATTTCTCAATGATGGCTGAGCTCTTCATTTTGATTTTACAGGAATTTGGGGAGAGAGCAGGTTTCTGCAAGATAGCAAAATGAAAAGTTAATGGAAGGACAATGTCACAAAAGACTCATTCTAAACATGAAAAGCTATAATGACCTGAACTCGTGATACTTTTTTGTTTGTTTTAATACGTACTATGATTATACAGTTTACAGGAACATACAGACACGTGGCCCTTGGTATTAAGACTAAATATTATTTATGAATCAATATTAAATAAATATTGTAAATAACAAAATAACATTTTTATTATACATGCTTATGATGTAGACTATACACTTGCACTCTGGTTGTGTGGTTTGTTTGTAAGTCATTTTTATGAGAATGAAAACAGCAGCACGTTTCTTATGTTTTAGACAAGAAAGAAAAAAAAAAAAAAAAAACAACCGCAGATTTGTAGGGTACAATGTGAGGTTGTAATGAAAATGCACTGTCTGTTTTCTGGGGACTTCCTTTGTGTGCCAGGAGGCCAGAGGAGTAACCCATGGGTAAGTAAAAGAACAAATTAACTCACATCTGATTCTTGATTATCATCCTTTTCATGATGTAACTTCAAGGAACATGGAGGTCTTCTTCGAAAGGGCAACTTCAGATGAAAAGGAGGAGAAATCAGTAAATAAAAACCTGTAAACAAGTGCATTCACTAACTGTATGTATATAAAAATAAAGCTATGTAGAGAATGTGGAGTTCTGTTCTTTCAGACAACTAAACACCGTTTTTATATGGATTCTGTAACATACAACATATAAGTAAAGTACAATACCTCGTTCTTTGAGGTTGGATTTGGTAGAATATGATTATTGAACTTTCCAGCCAGCTCAGCTACAGATGGCTTGGATGGAGAGTCCTTCTGGAACCAAACAAATAATTATATTAATGACAGTTTTGTTTATCAAATTGTATAATTCTGGAATGCCTCCCTTGAGGTGATTAACAAACAATTAATCAATATGAACTGTACTGTGTAGATGTATCTTGTAATGAAAAATTTACACGTTGTTACTATCTTTGCTTCCGCCTTTGCACACTGAACATGCACTCTGACATCACTGCCTTGAACTCCCTGTGTAGATAGTGAGGTGAGATATTAAATCACATCCCCAGAAAACAGGAACGCACTGTGAGCCAAGAATTTACAGCAAAGCATTTTTAAAATGGTACAAATTACGGCACAAAAGCTGAATGATTTTAAAGAGAGGAGTGACATGTTCAGTAAACACAGCTAAAATATACATTTTTATTAAGTGCAGCATGTGCAGACTGAACAAAGAGATGCTCTAATGTTAGACTTCTCTCCCCTCACAAGAGGAATGTAGACAGATTGCATGTCAGCAGAGCACGGAGGGTAAATATGCAAACAGCAACAAAAACAGTCAACCACTGTGTTGGGTTCAGTGCTGTTCTTGGAGGAACCGGTGTCTTCTCTGTGGGCTCGGACACAGGAAGCGAGCCCCTCTCTCCACAGCTGTTCAACATCACACTGCAGCCTGTGACACGAGGGACCTGTCCTTGCAGCCTCACACTTATCACTTCTTGGCCCCTTTACCATCCGTCTCTCCCACTATTCCCAAGCTGATTGCCCAAGCTCCCTCCTCCGCGCTGCCCTTTGATGACCATTAACTCACTCCACATATCTGTGGCCTAAGTGATAAGTTGGCTGATGGCTGCAGGCTGGAATGTAAACCTTGAAACCAACGCTCCAGTGTTACTCTGTCTTCCAGGTTCTGGCAAGTTTTCTGTAAAGTACTTGGACTGAGAGTGGGTCGAGACATTTGTTTGCAGCCTGACCTGTGCTGAGAATGCAGATTTCTATGTCAACATTTAATGCCTTGCGTCGTAGTCACGGCTTATGCTGCTCCTCCCTTCGGCTTTCATGCGACATACATCTCATTCCTAACTTACTTTTATTGACCACTGACAAAGCTCATGCCCCTCCTCACAGCTGACAATTTCCTGGGTGTGAACTCCCTTCCTCTGTGCAGAGTTTGAGTCACAGCCCATGAAAACATGAAACATGGATATCCCAAGCTTCACAAACACACACGTTCCACAGCTTAATCACATACTTTATTTTTTTAATTTTTTTTTCCCTTTGTTCTCGACATGACCTCATCACCTCCCTGCCTCCACCCACGATAGTCCGCAGCGCCTCTGTAAATGCTCGTCTTCACTGTCTCTGTGTCCTAATCCACATCCCGAACCTTTCCCTGAGCTCTCGCTTCTCGTCTGTGATAAATAGTAATCACCAGGGACCACCCACCCTCCACACCATTATTTTGTAACTTCTGGTTGTTTAACTCTTTCCTGTCCTTTAAAAGCAAATGTCTCCTTCAGAGAACACGCTCAAGTCACAGCAACGCAGGCGAAGGAAGTGAGGCTTTGTTTAAATCAGTGCTCCAGTGCTTTGGGTGCAGAAAAACAAGGTTTCAGTTTTTATTTTCAGCTTTATTTAAATGACAGGAAGAACTAGACCTCTCAAACATACAAGGAATATGGAGCTATATGGACATTCAAAAGGCTTCAGCAAGTTTAACTATTCCCTTCCTAATTGTTTAGAAGTTATTTCAGATACATTAATATGCTTGTGCCTGTCTTTTGACAGAGAGCCTGTATCTTTAATGAGCTTCTTCATATAATGTCAGGCTCAGTGCAAATACCTGAGCATGCATAAGCTGACAGGTGCAGCTTTATTCATGTTTAAAGTTAAAAAAGGATGTAGTATCAAAACCTCCACTGTTACATTAAAACTATAGTCCTTCACTGCAGGCTTAAAACCATTTTACAAAAGGTGCTGTCAGCAACCTTATGCAAAATACAGTATTAAGTAAACTAATCTTTAACTCTTAATGTAATAATGTGCCTGTTTTAGACTTTTTATTGTTTAAACATCTTTTTCTGTGTTCAACTCAGTTTCTTTTAAACAGTTTCACTGTGATGACAAAGGATACACATTTTTTTCAGTGAACCAGATAAGACCTTTGGTTGGTTATCAGTACTGAGCATGTTTAACTCAGCTGGGACCCCACGCTTACTGGAAGAGTGGGAAACTGTGGTTCACTGCAGGGGAGAGCAAAGAAAACACTATTTCTGGGGCTCTAGGCATGGGAAAAAGGCCCAGAGCTGTGCAGGCAGCCTGGATCACAGCTCTGCTCTCTAACCCCCAGCTCCTCCAGAGAGAAAGTCCCTGGATAAGCTAGACCACATCTGAAACATACTGTAATCTAGCATCGAGAGCAATTGAGTGTGTCTAAACAAGGGAATGAGGAAAATCAGCTTCTTAAACGGCTTAAACATGTGAGTGAAGTTTTCCAAAAATGGTCCAGAGTCAATGCTAAAAAGAAATCAGCTATTTTGGAACACTTTCACGCAGGCGATTCTTTAGGGTTACATGAACAGTACAGACGTTACACACTGTTGTCAAAAACATATGGAGCTTTTCCATCATATCACAGCATGATTTAAAAAAAAGTCAATTAATGCTGGATCATTATCATGTCATGAATGCAAGAACTTGTAACTTTCAATCCCCAGGCCATTTGAGAAAATACAGCAGGGTTAAATTCACAGATAATACTTTTGCATGTCTTGAAAGTTGACATGTTAAAAGCAGGAAAAATGGAAAGGTCTAAGGATCTGAGTGACTTTCACAAGAGCCAGACTGTGATGTCTGACGACTAGTGTCTCCCGAACTGTGCCGTGTTTGAATGATTAAAGTTTAACCCGAACCAGTGTCTTAATTTCCAGGCTGTGGAAGAAGACACGAGGTTTGCTGTATGACCAGCACGTGGAAAGAGAACGTACCCAGATCACACCCAGATCACACAAAGCCTGCTATTGACGGCTCCTGTGATTCCTTTTTCCAGAGGCAGTGAAGAAGAAGCGCATGATGCCAGTCTCAGTAGCATCTGCTTGACATACGGGTTAGGCCGTGGAAACTGCCACACCAATGTATTCCTGCCCTAAAATACTGTATTATTCCACTAAGTAACATCCTTAAGAGGAAACTACATCATTAAAAGTTTGAACAATACAAATTCAAATGATGGAGGAGATTGGGCTTCCTCTTTTAGAACCATTTTTTTCCCCCAAAACCTTCCCTGTCAAGCAGAACATACGATATCTTGATATAACAGGTGAAAAAATAAAACAAATAATGCCCGAGGTTGCAGGTTTAACATATCGTTCATGCTATGAACTAGAAAATTTTATGTTTGGTTGTGATAATAAAAATCTTAAAATTCCAAGGTCCAATCTTTTCCATGAAATCACTCATACAGTAACAGGGAGCAACGGGCCATGTAATCTACCATGGAGCTCTCTGGAAATCATTCTGTCCTCATAAGCTCCCGCTGGTGAGCCCCACACAGTGGAAATCTGAAAAAAAATGAAGAAAAATAAAGTGCACCAAAACACTGCTATTCAACAAGATCTTGTTCAATAAGCTCACAAAGCATAATGGCTTTATTTTGAGTCTGCAGACTTTGTTTTCACAAGTCAGCATGTTCTGCCAGGGGGAAAACCACCTCAGTGAGCAGCTCCCTTCTGCCTCCTCTTGTCAAGTGGTAAGAGAGCAGACAGGCACCTTCTCACTCGCTGCCTTTCCAGGAAAACATGATGTGTTTCTGGACTAGACCTCATCTGAATATCGCACTTTTCCACTGCCCTCACGGCACAATATGTGTGTTTTCATATGTGCTGTGTGTAATTCAAAGCGCACTACAGAAGGACATCAGTCAGAGGGATGAGGGAAATGGACACACTCCATTGCTGCCACTGCCTCATGGGGAATGGGAGGTGCTGCAGACACAGACTAGGGCTGCAGGGTGGAGAAACAAATCTGAAAAGAAATTAACACTGAGAGAAAAAGGGAAATATATCCAGAAAACCTGAGAACAAAAAGCAGAGTCCAAAACGCCAAAATGTCATTTTCTTAAATATGATCAAATACAACAACAAACAAATTATGACCCCAGGAAACCTTTGAGAGTTGCTATATAAACTGACAGCTTATGACGAAATGAGATACAATGAGAGAGCCAGAACGTCCTGTGATACGTCAGTACTGCAACAGCCTGTTTAAGATAATCTGAGCTGCTGTGCAGTGAGAAGATGTGGTAATGGAGACTGAATAATGAGTAAGCAAAGATATCGAAAGTGTAAACAGAGCAGCAGAGAGTACTTCCTCCAAATGTTTGAAACTAATCCAGAAAACTCTGATACAAGCATTTGTTGGGAATTCCACAGTGTCCTTAAACTACATGGTGTTGGGGTATTTTCATCTGTGCTGATCCAGAAATCACAAAGACAAAAACCATATGGACAATGCAGCAGCTGGCTGACATGCGAGCTGAGCAGCATAGACATGGGATGACTTCATTCAGCGAAGCCCTGCTCGTTTCCCGTTACAATGCTGCTTCTTGCACAGAGTGCCAGAGAATTTGTTCATCCATGGAAGACTTTGGATCAAAGATTCTGTTGCAATATGGGAATGTGGAGTGACACATGTGGAAGGTCAGATCAAGAGTTTACATATAAACACACTTAATTATATGCAATGTGTCTGTACAATTAACAGGATGAGGTTATAGAACTTGTTGCTGATTTAGCTCCCTGACAGTATATAAAGTAAGTAGTGTAACATTAATAACAATTTTACAGAGGGGTGTTTCTGGTTTTATCATGAATATAAATGGGGTGGATGTTGCAATACTGCACACATTAAATGAGCAAATAAGGAAATGTGATTTTTTCATAATCTAGATTAGGATGTAAAAAAAAAAAAAACACAACCTTGAAACACAGCTGCCTTAAGTGAAGATTCAAAACTTGACTTTGGGGGGAAAAAAAAAGCAAGTTCAAGCAGCTTGCAGTACTCTTTGTGTTTGCACTCCTTTCTGCCAAAAAAGGAAATAAAGAGCATGGCTAGATGCCAAATTTAGAAGCGGGTGGTTGAGGAGGTGCAGGCATTATGGGTTAACTGCTCAGCACAGAGATCTGGGAGTAAGTTAAAGTCATGATGATATTGTTTTTGTAGTAGTAGTTTCCTCTGAGTGGTTCAATGTTCTCAAAATCTGTATCTCATATCTGTAGACTTTATGCTGCCAAGATTCAACATGTCTGACAATCTGCAGATGTCCTAGCCAGCTCACCCTAATGCCTGGCTCAGACTGCCTCTCTGACCTGTTCAAACCTAAGCCAAACCTTGAAAGTCAACAGCATGTGTGTTTTCCTTGCACAGATCACTGTGTCCTCCTCACTATCTCTTCTGTAGTTACCACCACCCTGGCTATCTCTCTACCCCATGCATTACTTTGGATTGAAACAGAAAGGGGCAGCATCTGACACAACCTCATCGCTGATAACATGACTCAGAAAATAACCCACTGCATGTGCAGTACTAGTTTGTGTTCCTGTAACTGCAGCAAATAAAAACAATGTTTAAAGAAAGATTAACAACAACTCCGCAATAAAAAAAAGCAACTACAGTGAGAAACTGAAGGAGGCTTTATAAACCATTTCATTGGTTGTAAAGCTGCAAACATCCTCAAATGAGCAAAGCTTCAACTGAATTACTGTAAGTAGTTTAAAACAACATAGAGATGTAAAAACAGGTAACAGATCAGAGAGTAAAGACAACACAACCAGCATGCTATATTAGATTGCCAACACTTTATTATACAGGTCTGATCATTCCAGTTTATTTCCAAATAATTACACAAAAACTGTTTTCCAAATGCTAAGCTAGCACAAACCTAAGGCGTTTATTCAGAGAACAAAAGGCGAACTACACATGCGCAAGTGTGTCTACAAACAGGCCTGCAGTTCAGTATAAATGAAGAATAACATTTGAAATAATAAAAATCTGAACAGTAATTATCGAGTTAAAAAAAAAAAAAATCAATTGCTACCAAACTATATGGAAATTTTCCAGAAATTATTTGGAAATAGTGGACCTATAAAATAAGGAGCTACCTTTAGATTAATCTCAGGGTATTGCACATCTACTGCAAACAATTTACATGCCTCAGTCAGCTAGTCTGTGCTCACGGCAGCCTCTAAAGACAGGAAGCTGCTTAAACATCACCTGCTTGTAAGGGCCGGCTGAAAAGCTGACTCATCATCGTTCTCTGTGCAGAACAAGATGAATTACCACTCTGAGTTTTTTTTACATTTAGTCTCTGTCAACCAAAGCACGCTGTGTGTCTCCTTCACATGTTAATGTCCTACCAGATAAAACATTTTCAAGCCTTATTTTGAAAGTTTGGCACTGTGACAACACGTTACCACATCTAATTGTTGATATGCATTCATGCACACCGCAGTCAACAGAATAGCAATATCAAGTGCATTTGCATCTTCATTTGGGCAGACAGAACATAAGGCGCAAACTACTGGATCAACTAAAGTTTATTTCGCACAAAACTAGTTCTACTTTTCACACTGTTGCTGTTGTCAGTGGGGATACAGTGAAGACACACTGCAGTAACTACAGTGAAAATGTGAAGGTTCTGCAGAACAAAAACTGTACACTTCCTGCAGTTTGCTTATGGTTTCCAACTGATTTTGCAATTACATTTTTTCCTTGTGAGACATCTTGCAGGGTGTTACAAAAATGCATCAAGAAGCATCAGTGGAATCTGAGCTTTTACAAATCGCACAAGATACTGGTGGTTTGTCATATCATCACTATGTGCTCTTCATTTAACACTCAGCAGCCTATTAATCACAGGACTTTAATGAACTGTATAAGGAAATATTTTTACACTTTATATACTCCACTGTACAGCGTGAACTGAACGGAGATTCAGCCAGCGACGTAGAGAATGGGCTAAAGATTCACAGGCTTTATATTCCACTTGTGCTTTATGGTTAGTTAGGTGTCTGTTTTATGTTCAGGACAGAGTGAGCCATTCATCCTGGAATGAAAGGCTTAAAATACAGCCTCAGCAAACACCTCAGGCTGCATCTGAACAGATGAGAACGTTGCACCAGTGGATGCTCTTAACCCTGCCATAATCACACAGAACTTCCAAGATGCTTCTCATTTGATTCACTGCGACTATGTCATTAGGAAATGGCTGGCTGGTGCAGACTGAGTTCCTGTGTTACTGGTCTCTTAACATTACCATGAATTATATAATAAATGTGCACACCATATGGTTGGCAAGGCAGTCCCAAATACTCACTCCTCTGTGGGGTTGTTTTTCCTCAAATGAAAACCACTCCACCCCACTCCACAACCCAAACACAAAGTAGGAACCCTCAGGTGCATACACACAAATACACACATACAAGAGTGCAAAGAATTTCCAGTTTGTCTACTGAAGTCATCATTCTAACACAGGAAACAAAATGTAAGAATTTCCATGTGTTGCTCACGTCTTAAGGCTTAAACCAATGTTTGCTAAAAACACCCAGCACCACTAATATGAGATGTCATCACAGAGAAAACCTGGGTTTGAATAAAAGTGACAGTGAGACACTTACAGGCCAGTTTAATGGCTGATACATGTGCTTTAGACTAAATACAATCCATCCATCCTATCAAACTGAGGCTGCAGCAGATGAAACCGTCTCTTTCCCAACTGTTCTAACAGAACTGATCTATTTTGCCCAAATTCATTTCTGTTGTCAGACGGTTCCCTGGTAGGGGAAATCAAACAGGAAGTGACAGATCAATAAGTGGGAGCAAAACCAAAATGTTATCATCAACAGTAGCAACACACCCTTGCACAGCCAGATTACAAATGGTTCATGGTTTTACCTAAACCATGAACAGAAATACCTTTCTGAATACACTGAAAGGATTTTTAAAACCTTTTCCTTACCATGCTACATGTGAGCACCTTCTCTGTGTTGGTACACACATCTTTAGTGCCAAACGGAACCGCCTGTTGGATAGGGACTCGGAGATGTATAAAACAAGACATTCTGCTCATTAGGCCCATTATTTAGACCAGTGTTCAAGCTGGTCATACTGTCTAAAAAGTGCAAGATGGTACAAAACTGACAGGTAAGACAACAGGCCTGTTTTTAGACCAGTGCTCAGGTCGGTCAAATATGGTCTTTAATCTAAAGTGAACTGGCCTAAAGAAGAGTGGCGTAAGTAGTTGAGAGATAACTCTGTGGCAGATTACCAATATGCTCTTTCATGTGCTGTGGGGGGGAAATAGGAGTTTCTCTTCCTATTCCCCACATGACATGACATTACATACTGGAGAATAATATTATAAGTCTGAGGGAACAGCTTGTTTCGTGGTAAGAAGACCACAAACCTGCAAACATGAGTGGAAGAGCAAAGACAGTCCTCCTGTACCATAAAGAAGTACGTTATTCCACACACACTCATCACAGCACACAGACACTGGCTCATGACAGATGTTCTGGCAGCTTCATTTCCTTCCTCTAAAGCTGCGGTTACTTGTTATGAGGTTTTATCAAAAACCTTCTTTTAAAGCCTAAAGCTCAAACATACAGAGACAAAAATCTGTTGCTTTGGTGTGTCTTTATGCTGAGACCTCTGTGTGTGTGTGTGTGTGTGTCTGCACCGACAGTCAACAAAAATTACACCATACAAACAACACCGGCAACTAAAATATAACAAGGCCTAATCATCTTACATAGTAAAGTCAAGGCAAAGAGACTCCTAAACAGTGTTCATAGCAAACTCTACTTATTGTCAGCAGAACTACAAGTGCACATAGCCTAATATTCCATAAGTCCACTTATACTAAAGCAATGTCATGATCATATCAGTATATCCTTGGTTAAATTGTTGCACAGCCAGAGCCTTGTCCGTCCCTGACATCTCACAGAAATAACACAGAGCATTAAAACACTAGAAAGTCGCTCAAAGTGCTCCTATGATGTAATGCTTTCATTGCAGCCAGTGTGGCTGCACAAAACCGCATTACGCGTTTCAAACTTCTGTTCAAGTGACTTAAAAGAACAGAAAACTACGCTCATTCACAAATCTTTTACCTCCATCCTGAGGAGTGCGCCACAAACCGTCTCCTCGTGTTTGTTCTTTTGTGTTTGTCAGCCTCTTGGAGCAAAGTGCGTGCTGGTAGTGAGGAGCCTGAGGAGCGCAGAGGTGTTTATATGTGGAGCCAACTCTGCTTCATGGACAAGGAGGAGGGGCGGACAACTTTTACGCGCATTTGGATGCCTCAGGCTTGTCAGGTGGTTCGGATTAAGAAAAATACAACTCCTGCTAAAAACTTTCAAAATAAAACCCACATTATAAAATGTTTCTACAGGGTGATGGTGGAGGCAGACACAGGTAGCTTGTTAGGCTGCGTGTAAGTCACTTTTAAAATGTACAGTGCCTTGCGAAAGTATTCGGCCCCCTTGAACTTTGCGACCTTTTGCCACATTTCAGGCTTCAAACATAAAGATATAAAACTGTAATTTGTTGTGAAGAATCAACAACAAGTGGGACACAATCATGAAGTGGAACAAAATTTATTGGATATTTCAAACTTTTTTAACAAATAAAAAACTGAAAAATTGGGCGTGCAAAATTATTCAGCCCCCTTAAGTTAATACTTGGTAGCGCCACCTTTTGCTGCGATTACAGCTGTAAGTCACTTGGGGTATGTCTCTATCAGTTTTGCACATCGAGAGACTGAAATTTTTGCCCATGCCTCCTTGCAAAACAGCTCGAGCTCAGTGAGGTTGGATGGAGAGCATTTGTGAACAGCAGTTTTCAGTTCTTTCCACAGATTCTCGATTGGATTCAGGTCTGGACTTTGACTTGGCCATTCTAACACCTGGATATGTTTATTTGGGAACCATTCCATTGTAGATTTTGCTTTATGTTTTGAATCATTGTCTTGTTGGAAGACAAATCTCCGTCCCAGTCTCAGGTCGTTTGCAGACTCCATCAGGTTTCCTTCCAGAATAGTCCTGTATTTGGCTCCATCCATCTTCCCATCAATTTTAACCATCTTCCCTGTCCCTGCTGAAGAAAAGCAGGCCCAAACCGGGGCTGAATAATTTTGCACGGCCAATTTTTCAGTTTTTTATTTGTTAAAAACGTTTGAAATATCCAATAAATTTCGTTCCACTTCATGATTGTGTCCCACTTGTTGTTGATTCTTCACAAAAAATTACAGTTTTATATCTTTATGTTTGAAGCCTGAAATGTGGCAAAAGGTCGCAAAGTTCAAGGGGGCCGAATACTTTCGCAAGGCACTGTATTCACATAATATTATTCTCTCCATGTTGATAATATGTACTTTTATTTTGAAGACTGTTTTCTCACATCTGACTGTCTTGACTCAGCTGTGTGCTGGTGTTGCATCCACTCCGACCACAACAGATACCTACTGAGGTTAACTTGAGGTGTTTCACCGATCCTGCAGCCCACATAAGGATTGGTCTAGTTTTTGATTCTTCTGCTATGATTATAACCTTCTGCGGGGTCTCTAAATCTTGACTAATTTCATTTAATAACAAACATTTAAAAAGACTTCAAATGCCAGATTTTCAGACTTGACGAGGAAGGAAAAGTAAAAAGCTACTCAATAGTTCTCATCTAGAGTTTTCATGTAAAGACAAAAGACGTGGCAGTGCTCTCCTGCTTCATTGCAGCAGGAAAAGGAGCCAGTCACTGAAGTGGAAATGTAAAGAAGCTCTCTGATGGCCTGGCTTCTAACCCAACAACAGCACCAGACAACTGCAAGAATGACGATTTCTCTTGCTTGTATTTTGGTCACAGTCCTTACATTATATTCCTTTGGTTTGGTAAAATAAATGCTGAATCGGTTCTCAGGGAAATTGTCACAGACTAAAATGTTGATTTTACATCACTCACATCTTTTATTTGCTCATCAAATAGCCAAAAGCAAGTCGTGATCTGGCTTTGTAAGTTTGAAATTGACAGAGAGGTTCTGTCCCTTGGAGATTTACATTTTCCTCCCAGTTGACCTAATGTCAAACACTGTTTATGTAAAAGCTCTTCACAGATACCAAGTAGATGTAAATTAGCCTCCAAATTGCAGGGAACTCTACTAATTTGCAGGAAGAAACAGGGCACTGACTAACAAGCTTCATTAAACAATGGAAAGTGTTTCCTAAAAGCTTTAGAAGACAATGTGATTAGTGCTTTATAATTGAAGCTTATTACCATTATTACCACCAGTAGGGGCATCAGAAAGTGCCATGTGAGTGCCTGGTGGTTTCTAAGGCAGAGACACATTTGTGTTTGTTGTCTTACTGTCACCCAGCTGTGACAACAAGAGAGCAGCGTGAAAGTGAAGTGGCACTAACATCTAGCTCTTTGTAGCACAAAACCCTGATTTCAACTTGGTGAACAAGACATAAAGGACAAGGCACTTTAGGATTTTATATTGACACAAGATAAATGATCTTGCACATCAAAATATGTGTTCACCAAAGCAAATATTTAAACAGAAGGTTTTTCAGGAAGGTTCTGGAAAGAGTTGTCTTGCAGACATCTCTCTCATATGACCTCCATTTTAGCTTCCCATAGCCACTCATATGGACCAGTAGGCACATGGAGTCAAACAAGAAGCTAATATGTGTTGCTGATAATTTGTGGAAATGAGCTGAAAGAGGAAGCTGATGAAAACATCTTACAAGGAGGAGAAGTGAAAACCAGAGCTTTTAACCAACAGAACTGTTTTTGTGTAGTTTAAAAGCAACATCTAACCAATTAAAATCAGGAAATGTTTGATAGCACTGTACTTGGTGGTCATGCACACATACACTATAGACCGTGTCTCCTGACAGCAGTAGACTTTGGCTCCCCCCTCAGGTGGAAAGGACCCTTACACCGAAATGCTCTTCTACTCGTACAACACTTTTCTGCAGCAGACACAGCGACTTGCTCATGGACACTTCGGCATCTGGAGAAGCTGGGAATTGAACTGCCAACCTTCAGGTTAGGAAACAACCCACTCTACCTCCTGAGCCACAGCCACCCCCGGGGCGGGCATGTGCAGCTGTGTCGGAACAAAGACACTGATCTCTCAGACGAGATCAACTTAAATCGCAGCAAGTTACATTAAAAGAAGACTACAAAAGAAAAAACAAAGTGAATTATTTCTTAAACAATACCAGAGCAGCTGTTTCCAATTCTTAAAATGAGGCAGACATCCAAGCTCTTTCTTGTCAACCAGCTTAATTATGTTTTGTGCATTAACTTTCATCTCAGCTGCTCAGTAACATGTCTCAGGACTGATATATTTTTTATAGAGCCTCAAGATGATTTAAATACTGATGACACAGTGAACAGCAGCAGCAGTAATATAATGCCACTGTAATAACTGTTTGAATTTAATAAATATCTCTAGAAATATGTCATAGCACATTAACTATACTTAGAGTTCTGTTTTATAATTAAAATAAATTACTGCATATATAATACAGATCCAAAGGTTTGCTGACAGATTAGAAGCCACAGCCTCAAACAGTATATTTCTAATGTCAAATGAGGTGTGACGAAGGCCTGAGGGAGGTGTTGACAGCTCTGGATGAGCCGCTCGGAGACAGACTCTTCATTATCGGTACAGAAAATAGCCAACAGAGGACTCGTGCTGCTTGTTGATCTTTCCCCAGGTGATGGCAGGATGGTCTGTGGGATATAAGCTTTGACACACTGCCTCAGCTTCTCTGGCAGAGATGAATGACTTAGTGATAAAAGTGTCATGGGGATGAGTCAGCCCAGAGTGAGTTCATCTCTTTGTATCCGTGCAAACCAAGGCCTGATGATTCATGGACAAAATCATGACAGTTCTTTTAAAGAGTCTATTTTGGGATTTGATGTTGTTCAGGTTAAAAATAAACAACTTTGACATTTTGGCAAAGCACATGAGCTACAAAAATGTCCAATTTCTAAACCAAAATGCAACATCAAAGATAAATAAAAGCAACCCCTGCTACTGATGACAACCTAATATCTTTTTTTCTCTTTGAACAACATTACTTTGAATATGGAGATGTAGGAAAATCGGCTGCTAACGTAAATTACATGTGATGACCAGCACGTACGCAGCCCCAAAACCTCAGGGCTCAGGTGGCCCCTGTGTCACACACACGCAACAGCAACTGCCCCATTTTCATGCTAATCTGCTCTTATTGTTATGTTCCATTTGTTCAGGTTAGAGGTGACACACACACACACACACATACATGAGGAAATATCCTATTTCAAATCTTATAATGGCCCACAGCTAACAGGTTCACTTGGTTTTTTTTTTCTTGATTTGTGAGAAAAACAACCAATGGGTATGATACCAAATGCTCAACATGTAACAAATTCAATCCTACAACACAGTGTAGCAGAGATTACTACTGGACATTATAAATGAACAGTTACTTCAAATGTGACAATTGTTCATTAGCCATAAGTGAAATGGTGCATGTGTTCAACAAGTGCCGTCACCAAACAAGGAAAACGTAGAAGCGCACAATGTAGAGGTACAAGACTGAAACAGGAAAATGTAAATGAAAACTCTTTTTTGCTTTGAATATTTTCTGGACATAAAAATTAGACGTGACAAGGCTGTAGACCATCATGTAGTCTCTGTGAACAAGATGCCACTGAGTAGAAGTACACTGACTTTGAACTGAAGAGCTGGCGGAGCACTCAGCCCTGGATATCTCCTCAGACACAAAACAGAACAAACATTCCTGCAGCTCCTGAACTTTGTAGAAGCCTGCAAACTCTCCCTTGGTGCTGAAGTCAAAAGAGCCGGTAAAAACACTGCTCAGAGCCTAGTCAGGCTCTCATTCAGGGTGGAGATGTGATCAGTTACTTAAAACTGTCTCTGGCCACAATGGACTTGTCTGGGCCGCTGATGTATCAGGATTTGGCTGCGACCCTGTACTTCTGGGACATGAGGCTGTAGACGACAGGGTTGATGGAGGCACTGAGGTAGCAGAGCACCATAGAGGCCATGTTGAATTTCTGACTCAGCATGACCATTTCGTAGTCGTCCACCTGGGCAAAAAGGTTCCTTCCGGTGTGATATGGCAGCCAGCAGGTGAAGAAGGCCAATACCACCACCACTGAGGGTGAAAAGAAAGTTAGGGGGATGAAAGGTGTTTCATTTAAAGAAAAGAAAGGACCGATACTGCTCTCATGTCTGACTGC